AATTTGGTATATATCTATGGAATGCTTTTTTTCCATAAACAGAATGTAAGTAATTCAGTATCGCTGTGTATTGAAAAATAGTTTAAAAATTAAATTAAGTTACCCATATTAGGTTAACAACTAACTACTAGCACTTATAAAGAATCAAATATGAAAAATTAAATGGGATAATTAGCTTTATTGTTTGCTATCTTAACTTAAAATGCAATAAAATCTCTAGAATGACAAATGCAGGTGCAGATATAATCATGTTTGAAAGAGGTTGCCGTTGGTATAAAAAACGTTCAGTATCAGTATTCATCTATGTTGGAAAAAATCTTAGTTACTTTCATAGGTGACTGACACGAAAGGTTTCTTTCTATTAGCGAATTCTTAAATTTCGTGGTCCTTTGCATAATTATTCTTACATAACACTATCACGGGCCTTCATTTTCAGTATCTTATCAGATTAGATCTTTACAGAACCACACATGACGTTGGAAATTACAGTTTTATTGAATTTCTTCTAGATTATTTTCGGTGAAATGAGTTTCCATGCCTAGGAATTCATACATCATTATCAAATTTGGTCATTGCATATGAAGTCTCTTAGCACCAAGTTATTATTTCTTGCAACCAGTAATTCAGCATAAAGTCTTCGAATTACTTATAGAAAATCAGATCCTTTTCGGTTTGGCCTTCTTTAACAAACTGTTACTTCAATTCTTTAATTGCTCTGATGGTCTTAGTTATCTGGTATTGTATTTTACATATGAAAAATGCTCGGATGAAAAATACTCGAATTATGCCACACGAGGTGAGAGTACAAAAAGTATATGGTAGCAAAATATGCGCGCATGAAAATAAGAGAAATATTTTACTTATGCTTTTTGTCTGTTTAGTTCCTGAAAAGAATGACAATTTTCTAGTACATCTATACAATTGATGCGTCTCAGTAGTCAGTCACATGATGTGAATGATATTATTTTTCAATTTGCTTTCTTTCATCGCATTGAAACCTAGTGAAATCTGCATAATTCAATGTTGATAACACATTTAATAAATCTAATTCGTCATTGGGTTCTGTACTGTTGATTAAGACAAACTGATTAGAATATTATTAGATAGTGGCACTATTATTCTGTATATCCTTCTGAAGGAGCTTCGAAATCGCTGTCTTTAAAAAGCAGAGAAAAAAAAAGAGAAGGAAAAATTGATATCATTTGCAAGTTTTTGTCGAAAACAATTATTTTAACCTTTCATTTTGAAATATTAAACGGTATTTAAGATTCCATTTGACTCTTAAGAGTGTAATTTGCAGAATACATTTATAAGATTTAGTTAAATAAATGCCCTTGGCAACTAGAATACTTGGAGAAGTGTGAACACGTTCTACAGAGAATTTCTGAGCTCTTCTACAGAAGTGACCGAAACTTCCAATTAAAAGGTTGTTGTACCTTATTTACGTAAAACACGTTACTGTCCGTGTACGATAAGAAGAGACCCCGCCACAGTGTCTGGAAGGTAGCGGTCGCTATAGCAACAGGATTAGTATATTTCAAATAGTGACAAACCAAGAGTTGCCAATTCATCTTTAAATGCGCCAATATAGCAAAGTGAAAAGTAAATCTTCAAGACACCCTAAGGAAAATGGGTCAAGGCTCGTTTCTGTGGCAACAGACAGTTGCAGACTAACTGACGAAAGCTTTTCTAATGATAGGCAGACTGTACTGAAAACTCATTTTGGCAGGTATGTGGAGAAATAAGTAAATAAAGGAAAGGGTTTAAAAATAGAAAAATTATTAAGAAATTAAAATAACCCTTACACATCAATACGCAAGACGGGATAATATTTATGAATTTTGAAATTTAAAATAAGACGAATCTCAATTGTTATGCACGTTTATATTTGGTATGTTAAAAAAAAATTAAATATTTCACAGCACTTGGAGAGTTTTTCGTATAATTCAACCTAAACATGTATTATATATATTGTGGCTAATTTTAAATTTTAGATAAAATAATTTTGCTATTTGAAGAAGAAAGATCTAGGTCAGCTTCTTTTGAAATACATGGATTTACCTATTTGTCTATTACATGCGATGTTTTTTCGTCTTCAACTACTTTATTCGTATATAAATACTGATATGATTAAATTATAAGTGATAGTCTCAAAGCATTATATTTTTTAGATACTCGTAAAAAATCGCTGTAATGGTGTTCGTAAGAAATTTTACAGAGTGTTCAAACGGTGCGAAATTCGTCCTAACTCCTGTTTTCGTGAAATGTTACAAAACTTATAACAATAGTTTTGATGTATTATTTAAACCAGCTTGTAAGTACAAAAAAGGCCTCTTTCAAGCTGCCACGCGAGCGAACGTGTGTCTGAAATGTTTATCTTTGCCATTTGTTTAAACATTTTCCTTTTAAACGATCTACAAAGACGAATCTGAATAATAAGTTACTTTTTTCCTTTTCTGCTGCGTAATGCAGCCTTTGATAGCAAAAAAAGTATGTGTGTTTTTAATACGTCTTCTACCATGAGCAGATAGATCGTGATGGATAAAATCTTGGCATTGCTATTAAGAGAGCTTAAAAGATGAAAATTTAACATTTCAGCTTTGAGAGCTTCTCAAAACAGACTGACGCCCAACAAAAAGCTGACAAACATTCTGATGTTCTGAACTGTATCAGAAATAAAAGTCTGTAAAGACATTAGGTTTATTTCGCAGAACGAAATATAAACCAGTAATAAAAAAGTCGGTAATGCTTTAGCCGATATTCGAATTTCAAATCAGTTGTGCTTCCAATTATACCATGACAGCACGCGATAAGGAAGGAGAAAATTCCTTACATTCTACCCCACTTAGAGGACGACTTGTAAGGAAGGGAATCATTCGCTGACGAATTATCGTCAGGGAATCAATTTTATTTCATTTTGGTTCGGCGCCATTTGTTGAGGTTTGTTTTGAAGCAAGGAACATGGAAAATATTCGTTGGGATTCGAACTCCGGATTTTCCGATTGCTAGCCGGGCATGCTTTCAGTTATATCCTGAAAGCCCACAGGAAAAAGGAGAGAATTCCGTACATGTTGTAAAAAAATAAAAAATGAATGGTTATTATTAATAGTAGCAGTGTGAATGGTTAGTATTAATAATATGGCGCTTTCTGTTTGTACAGGCATTACAGCAGCACTGCTGCATGTTTCTTGTAAGCATTTCAGAGATGTTTGATTTAAATTCTAATATGTATGTATGGCAGTATTTCTAACAGTCAATTTCGTGCAGGTTTATAATTCCACTTTAATGTATTCTTTGTAATCAATATGTTTGTTTGCTGCTACTATTTTGTAACAAGACCGTTTTCACAAGTGCTTTCCATTGCAGAAGTGTGTTAAAAGTTCAAATTTTGTCAGCTTAAAAATAAAAAACTTCCATTTTGAGTACTTTGAAGCAAAAGTATTGACGAATTTTCAAGAATTTCTAAAAAGTTGTATTTTAACTAACCCAGCTAGCATAGCGTGTCTCAGAATTCCGGAGGGTTAAAAATTTTTCTTCATGAAAAATGTGCAAGTAATGATTATCGCTGTACGCGTTTTCTTAAAACTTTATTTACAGTTGGAAATCGTATTACGTTCCAGGCACTATTCAGTGTCTTACAAATAAATAACACACCGCTGTAATATTAAATAACAATTGAATCGATTTTTTTTTTCAATTTGAGGTATAAACTAAGTATCAATACTCGAAGTGAACCGTAACTGAAAATGCCGCCTTGCAGGCATAGTAGAAAGGAAGCCGGATGCATAAGCGTTGGGATCGTGTTGAATATTTGTAAATGTGTGTAAAATGATAAGTATGTTATAGATGTTTTGAAGAAAGTTTGTGTAGATTTTAAAAGATTTCAGTTATTTTGTTCGAATCTAATGTTTTTCAAAAATAATAATCAGCAGTTAACAGGGGGTATATTTTTTGTATTATTTTCATGTTTTTATCCGAAAGGGTGTCAGCTCAGGAGGGCTATTAATTTCGTTTTGGCATTTTGCGTCAAAAACTTTAAATGTCTGTTTCGCTTTTCACATTGTTGCCACCAAATATTATCGCCCTGCGTTATATTTAAAGAAATTGAATAATGAAGAGTCTGCATAAATGTATGTATGTTTCTCGCATTGTGATAAAACAACGGTACCAAGAGCCATCAAATTTTGAATAACGTAATCCTCTACCAAATACGGGCATAGCCCTAATTTGGAATTTGTTTTATTATCGATTTAATATTTTGTAACACTTTAACGAATTTTTTTATTAATAAACTGAACGATTTCAAAGCGAACAATGGCAACACTGTACGGGGAGGGGGAATTATCTGCGGTGCGCGAGACTGTGTATCGGAAATTCTAAAGATACACTCATTTTAAAATTATTTTGCGATATAGCTGTTGAATTGAATTTTATGGTTTAAATACGAAGAACATGATATTTAATTAATAAATATAATACACAAAATGTTAAAAAAATGCCCTTTTGAGCGTAATGTGTTTGAGCGTGTGTGTGTTAAGATTCTGAACGTAAATCTTAAAGCTTTCAGATTTATTTATTTTTTTTTTTTGTTATTTTTTAGTTTATTATTTTTGCATGTGTTGCCTTTTGTTTTTGTGAGTGGCAGTAAGGACAGCTTCGCTATCGCTGTTTTTCTGGATTAGACGTTTGTCTTTATGAATGAATAATCCGTTGTCTTTGTGGCATTTTTGGAGTGTTCGCTATTAAAACGGGAGGCAGCTAGGTAAATTTGCATCGTAAACCCATGAGGTGCCCAATACCTTTTCCAACGAAGGTACAATCCTTTCTGTCTTGGCCACGATGAATTTGCTCACCTGATCTAAATTATGTTTACATTACAAGATTAACTCACAGCAAGACACAAAAAAATATGTCTTTCTCCATCTAAAACTATTACTTATTTATTGATTTCATAATATATAGGGTTCAACCTTTCCAATTTTATTTGATTCTTCTTTCAGCCATGTTCCAGCGATAATTTCCTGGAAATGCACCGAACCATAATGAGACATCCAAATTCGACAGCCGATTCTTGTCCTTCTTTGATATCTCGGACTCCCTGCATTTTGAACAAGACCTGTCACCATTATAGATATGAAATGGGTCCTTGGGGATCCTGTATTTTACCAGAAGGTGCATTATGCGGAGAAGGAGTTCAAAAAAGACCACTGCTGTGCCTGAGAAGTGACGGAAGGCAGGTGGATGCAATACAATGCGAAAAGGTGCGATTTGTTTTCAGTTTTTGAAATTATTGAAGTAGTAAAAGCTATTAAGACATTGTTAATTTTATTACATTTTGCAAGCTCCTGTCCTCTGGAACATCAGCCATTAGCATTCTTGCTTCCCAGGATTTATGATTTACAGAATTTAAATTATTAAATAAACAGTGCGTGTTGAAATGTTCTTTATCCGCGAGTTGTCCAGCGTCACAAAGAGAACACACTGGAGAATCTCCGAGCCTCACGTCTGAGAGATGAACATTGAGGCAATCATGGTCCAGTCAAAACACGGAAAGATGCCACAGTTTCAGCATGAAGAAAACATGGGTATTATATTCCTTATCCAAGACATATTTTTCCGAACATTCTGTAAATTTAAATTTAAGAGATTAGTTCCAATTTTCCATAAATTTATGTTCGAAATTCACTGCAATACGTTTAATAAGCATTTTCAAAAGTTCAGCAAGTTTATAATCACGAATACTATGTTACAATACAAGAATCATTTAGTCACTAAAATGAGAAACGTCTATCACATGACTGCTTCTTACACTTTTTCTAAAAATTGCTTGCAGGAAATATGTATGCGAATTCTGCACATTAAGATGAACGTTTTGTTTCTAAAGTAATGAAGGTATTATGAATAGTTTACCAACTGAAACATTTTTGATACGAGAAATTATAGTTTAAAATGTTTCCTCTTATTTACACAACATTTCCCCTTCACGGAATATTTTCATAAACGTCTGAGCCTTATTTGCAATAAAAGTACCTAATTTGGAACTATATCTACCATTAATATTTAATGAAATAAGAAACGCAGCCACTATTTTAGTCTAAATTAGATATTTGAATTTCTGTGTTTTTCTGCATTTCCATTTTAAATTATTCGTTATAGCCTAACATTATTATTTGCTATTAAAGTTTTAGTAACTCTCAGAATATAAGAAATTCTTGGATTTATTTATGTTGAAGGTAAGAATTTGGTTGATGCTGATATGTTACTCTTAGCTTAGCTAAAAGTTACGTTTCTTTCCTACTGATATGACCTGTTTACTTACAGAGCCACAAACCCATGTCCATGAAAGAACCGGTGTCAAAGCCATGCTATGTCGATTGCCCTCTCGACTGCGTTATGTCGGAATGGTCGGCATGGAATGATAGCGAATGTAGTGCTTGTGGAAGTCCAGGTAAAGTGTTAAATATTTAACTCTATTCATATCTTCTTACGAGAACATGACAAATTTGAAAAAGATGTAAATTGGTTATCCTTCTGTACTTCTTCTCTCAGTAAGAAATTGAAGACGAATAGTTATAACTCCAGCTTAAATTACTTTATTATATAACTTAACTGGCGGTTTGTAATGCTGTTTAGTATCACCTTGTAATTATTCAAGCAGAACAAAGTTAATAGCCAAGTAAAACTTTACTGCCTTAATTTGTGCGTCCCCGAACATAACAGAAGCAGTTCCCTTTCGGTAAAATGCAGCACTTGAATAAAGTTTTCATCTTAAAAGTTAACTTAATTTGACGTAAATGCCTGGAACTATGCTACACCTTACTGCCAAACTATATTTAAGTTCAGAAAGTAACACTTACTGTTTAAAGCTTTTTCTGAAACCTAAAGTTGCAGTCATAACATAAAGAAGAGTAAATGCACAATGAAAAAAAATATCTCTTCAAGGCAAGTTAAATCATCTAGTTATCAGATACAATTAAGCGCTGTATATGTATTTGTGTCTCAGTTCTTCGCATTATTATTTTTTGAGTTAGCTATTCTGTGTATGAAATCAGAAAAGGGAAGTGGAGGTTATGCGCTGCTCGATAAAAAACAGACATACTCTTCTCACTCATCGTGAGAGCTACTAAACGAAGCGCAAGATAAGTTGCTGGCTTGGTTACTCTAAGTAACCCAACCTAATGACTTCAACTGCCCAATCATAAACAGATACCCTTCCTGGCGTTCAATCTATGGAGGCTCTTTCATATTTGATCACGCTACATATTTAACAATAAATCTTAATTTTTTAATTAAAAATAAACCTTAATTTTTTAAGGTTTAAATTAATTTTTTTATTAAAAATAAGCCTTAAATTTTCAGTACAAGTGTTTAAAGTTTTATAATGTGTATATACTACGCGATAAAAAAAAATAAATAAATAAAAATTTAAAAAAAAAAAAAAAAAAAAAACACCACCTTAGAAGCAGAGATGGCGGTCAGGAACTGGAACAAAAAATGTTTGAGAAATACTACCGTAAGAGAAAGTTATTGGTAATTAGAAATGCATATGTGCATATATATAATCTTTGGTTTCTTTATTTCAGTCATAGTGGTGCCTCGTGAAATTAACAGCTTCTTATTTAAAATATTTTCATGGTATATTATGCGGTACTTTTAGTTACTATATTTTTAGTTACTATATTTTTTATAGGTGTCATGATCCGTAAAAGGTATATTCTTCAATTACCTACGGATTCGGGACAACCCTGCCCTCCGGAAGTGGAACAACGCAAGCCTTGCCCTTTCATACCCTGCTACCACTGGAAATATTCGGACTGGTCTACTTGCGATTTGGAGGTATGTTTATGGTTATGTTATGAATGTAAGTTCTTCCATCTGCTATAATGCTGAAATGTGAAGCTGGTAACTTTTGGTGTGCTATAATGCTAGACGCGGGGCTGCTGACAAGATATCATCAGTTCGAAATCCAGTTGATGGCAATGCTCTTCTTTTTATCAGTTTTATTAATTCATTTAAAATTATTCAATTCTAACTCAAAAAGCATTCCTGAATATTTAAAATAATAACGTGACAAAAAGAAATTATTTTTATGAATATTCTGTCGCATTGTTCATAGTGGGTTTTTCTAGCAATATAAATGCCTTAGCGATGTAACATTTTTTTATTATTCTGCCGCATTGTTAGTAACGGATTTTTCTAGCAATATGCCTTAGCGATGCAATTTTTTTAATATTCTGTCGCATTATTAGTACTGGGTTTTTCTAACTATATAAGTGCCTTAGATATATATATATTTTAATTCGTTGTTTAGAAAATTTTACTTGTTCTCTGATTAATGGTATGCATCACGAGACTCGTGCCCTTGGCACTTCATTGTCATCTACCTTCTTTTATAACTCATAAAAAAATGATAAAATTTATAAAAATACTGCGTTGTTTTCCTGACTGGAATATATGCTGCTGAAGTGTTGGACAATTTAGAGTTCTGAACAGCAAGCATATCATAGAGATTTTTGTGAATACTCCAAAATGGGCTTTTAAATAAAACAATTTTCCGAAAGACTTTTAATTACTGTACACATCATTTATTCAGAATATCGGATATCAGAATAGGTTTACTTGCGAAAATAGAATTTTTCAGCGAAACATTTCGTAAGTTCAAACGGCGTAAAGCATTAAACATTAATTTACGTGTTAAGAGATTCTGGAGCGTTCCCTGAAAATAGAAAAATCCATGAAATCCTAAAATAACGCCTAAAACATAAAAGTAACACCGAAACAAAAATGACATGAAAAATTCACAGCCTGAATAAATCAGAAATAACATGAGTAAAATAATTTCCTCTTTTTAAATCGGAAGACAGACAGTACAGTGGAAGGTGTTATTTCCTTTTAAACCATTGCCTTTGTTAGTACTGTATTTCCTTTACATTATATCTCATTTATTTATTTACCTTTTAATTCGTTAACAATCCAGGGAGCTGATTGCGGTTATGGTGTGCGGCGACGTGTCGTGGAATGCATTCGTTACGACGGACTCCAAGTAGACAAGATATACTGTTTGACTGTCAATGCCACTTTCCCCAGTCGTGATTGGCTGGATCCTTCCTGGTTGGCCCTGGCTCACGAAGAAAGCGTAAGCACTTTAATACTTCATATTGTTACATTGAAAATTTGTAAGAAGTTAAGATGCGTTATGTACTTTAATAGTCCCCAGAGCATTACATCTTCCAATGACTACTGACAGACTCCAGACAACGGTTTTTAATACGAAACAGCATATAAAAAATTTATAATTAAAAGTTGTGATGCAATCGAAATTTATAGAAGTATCAACATAATAGCAGCGATGGGGAAAGCTATATGTCAGCCAAGCTAAATTAAAATATCTACTTTTCCCAATAATCTTCTGAACTTTCTCAGCAATGACAATGCTTAAATCAACGGAACGTTATTAACTAATAAACATTCGATCATTCTAAAAGCTGTTAAAACTTTAAATCATGAACTAACATCTTTACAGTGTAAAATAACAATCAGTTATGGCAAGGCAGCAATGTGCTCTACTTTATATTTAGTATTTCTTTACACGGATACATTTATGCTGTATGTTTATATTCATGTATATGTTCTATGTTATGTGTATGTATATACACATGTTATGTTTAGTTTTATGGTATATGTAAATATGTTATGACTACCCGGTTGCGAAGGGGCTAGCGCGTCGCGCAGCTGCACCACAGGTGAAGGATTCGATCTCCAGGCTGGGCAAGGTTGACTCAGCCTTTCATGCCGTGTGTGGGTCGATAAAATGAGTACTGAGTTCGCTTGGAGACTAAACACTGGGGGTCCTGCGACAAGCTGAACACTTGCCTAGGGCATATGTTAAAGCACTCCGGGGCCCAAGGTCAAGAAAACAGACTTCGGGACACTGCAGGCCGTGGCCCACTAGTTTACAGAGAAGCTCAGTGGTGGGCCAGTCCCACCACTGAGTTTAGTTTTAGTTATATATGTTATATTTTATTGTTCTATGAGCAAACCAAAGATGTCATTCTGTACCACATGTACCATTGTAACCAATGTAGAAAATATTAACTAATCAAAAGTTATTTTCAAAATACATAAGCTCCCGAAGTGGCACTCCTGGCTGCCCCTGAGAGATGTTGCTCTGGATAAAATAGGGAGAACATACACCTGTTACATATGTGAAACATCAGGTGTCCCTGCCTCCATTCCCAGTCACCAGTGTAACAGTTAACACGTCTATCCCGCAGTTCGAAGTTAAAGAGTTCGACTCTTGCACGTTCGAGATCGGACTTTAGGCTGTTATCGATATGTTTAAATCAGATTTTAGGCAGTCTTCTAGTCTTAATAAAATATTTTTTTATTTCATTTTATATCTAGGCCGTAAGTTAGTGAATCTAAATATTGAACTGAAGTATTTCATGTTGCATTAAGCTATTTTTTAAATACACTAATACTCATGGCTACGCTGCTGGTTGGAAAAATATGGCGCTCTGTTGTCACGTGTTATAGTACCATAGGTCTCATTCTCACTATTGCATATCAGAACTTGCTTGAACTGCATAGCATATTCATTGGACTTCAGTTTCATCAGAATGTTTTAAGACAGTGAATAATCTGTCTTAAAATTGCTGTCTGAAGCAAACTAGTTCGGAAAATATAGGCTAAAAATTTCAAGAAAGTATTCGCTCTCAATCAAACTGCTCGAAATATCATTTCACGAATTTCTTTTAACCCTTATATTACTTCGCATTTGGTTTGGTGTGTATGTCTTCCTTCACACTGCACTGTATAACAACAGAGTTTTATTATTAATAACTCCAAATGTCCCGAAAAGATTTCTACTTTCCATGAGCGAGAGAGTTCTTAAAATGCTAAGTATCTGACGCACTTGGATGGATGGATGTATGGTATTGTTAATTTAGTGGTCAAACAATTACATACTCATTCGCCCAAAGTTAGTCGGATCCACTAATGAATCCGCAACCTCATCGCTCACAACTTGGCCCAGTGGTGCACCAGAAGACCAAACTCATATTTTTCTCCAAAAGTATAAGGTGTATTACCAATCTATTGGTATTACTATCTGAAACTCTAGCCTGGACGTTCAGAGTGACTAGCACCATCTGCTGAATACCATATGGACGTGATGATTAGTATTCTAAACTTGAAGTTTTCCCGCCGATAAAACTTCAACCACATTGATTTCCACTGCATTTAATCAATCATTGTCATTTGATATCTAATTAGAAGTTCTCCATGAAACACATTGACGCTAAGGAAATGCTGAAAAGCATAGAGGCCATACATCTTTCAACATTATTAGATTGGTTGTGTAATTATAATGCTTTGTATTATTCGATGACTATACAATTACTTTTAATGAACCAGTAGCGTGTTTTGAAACCAATGGCATTCTAAGATCCATATAAGTCACTAGCGAGTTTTGTTTAATGTATAGCTGGTTGAAAGAATATATGATCCTGATAATCTGATGTGTATAAAAACGCATTTAAGATTATGTTTCTTCTTTCATTTTGCGATTTTTGTTTCAGCAAGAAGAACAGATTTGTCATGTACCATGTCCCGGTGATTGTATAATGACCGAATGGACGAAATGGAGCCATTGTCAAAAGAATTGTCGTATTGGTCAAACATGTAAGTCAATATGTTTGCAGTTTTAAAGTGAAGCTATTGAAAATATTATGTCAGAAAATATTAACTAAAAGTGGCAATGACGTATCTAATAAATTGAAATAACAGGAAGCACAAGAGTTTCTTGATTTGTGCTCGTAATGTAGTAAAACTTACTCTCATTGCTGCAGTTAACAACTACTTTTTCTATTTAATTACAGTACTGAAGGTAAGTTTAAATTAATTTAGTAGTCAAACAACAAAAATCAGCTTTATTTTTGCAAATTTTCACACTACTAATTTCGATGGTTTTACCGAATCAACATCCTCAGCTGCCAAAGCGCAAACGAACGAGATGAGATTATAGTGGTGGTTCGATAAAACTATCGAAACTAGTCCTGTGAAAATTTGCAAATTTTTGTTTTTGAAATTTGTGTTCTTTAAAAGGTCTCGAGAGTTAAACGCAGTATTATGTTTAGAACCGAGGTTCTCTGCTGCAGAAGTACAAATTGCACTAAGACGAAAACATAAGATTTAATTGGTGACTTAAAGAAAATAGATGAACATATCGTGTCAGACTATGACACATTAGTGAAATTATACGATGGATACCATATAAATATAATTAACTCATACAACGGGATTTGATGGTATCAGAGCGTGATATTTCTTCCAGTGTGATGTTCCATGTTAGGACTCTATGCATCATATTTCTGCACCACGCTCGAGAGAATCTTGGTTGCTGGCTATGTCCACAAACACCTAGAACAGGCATGGCACGAAGGTCAGTCTTCAACACCATCAGGAACCGGGAAGACATACACTGGCGTGCAAATATTAAGGACGAAGTCGAAAAATTAGCATATCAGTTGAACGAAGAGGCAGAGCGGACAGAAAGACCAATAAGGAGATTAAGAAAGGTGATGTACGGTAGCACATGCGCAGATATGCAGGTAGACGTAATACGGGAGTGTCTGAGTAGTATAAGCATGTTGTTGGTGTAAGATCAGTATTTCTGGCAAAGAGATTGCACGCCGTATAGCAGTTAAAATCACACCGAGTTTTTGCCTCAGCGAGAAATGCCGAATAATCAATCTGTTAGACGACATCTGGATGCTTTTACCCGAGGTCGAATCATTGGGAAGTTGGAGGAAGGCCGCAGTGACAAGTGTGGCTGCAGAGTTCGGAATTGCTCACTGCATCGTTTCACGACTTTGGACACAATTTCAAACTACAGAAACAGCTATCCGGGGGTTTAGTAGTGGTCTTCCACGAGGAACCACACCCGCAAATGACCCGGTATATTGCCTTACAGGCCAGAAGAAACAGGCGGCAGACATCGGGAGAAATCGCTAGACACACGACACAGGCGACTGGACGACCGATATCGCGTTTTACCGTGGCCAGAAGAGTGCACGGTGGTGGTCTGTTTGCACGACGCCCTCTAACCCTGCCCATCGGAGAAGACGTTCTCTGTGGTGCCGGGAACACCGGAATTGGAGAGACAATGAATGGGGACGAGTACTCTTTACAGATGAGAGCAGATTCAGTCTGAGTGGCGATTCTCATCGCATACGCATCTGGAGAGAGCGGGGAAGCAGCAATCATCCCTCGAACATCATTGAAAAGGACAGGTATGGAGGTGGCGGTGTTCTCGTTTGGGGAGGCATCATGCTTGGTAGTCGTACAGACCTTCACATCTTCGACGCAGGTTCAGTCAAGGGGACCCGTTATTGTAACGAGATTCTTCTTCCATATGTGCGTCTTTTTAGAGGCGCTACAGGTCCGCAGTTCCTTTTCATGGACGATAGTGCATCATGTCATCGCACAGTAGCTGCCGAACAGCTCTTAGAGAGTGAGGATATTGAACGTATGGATTGGCCGGCACGATCTCCGGATCTCAATCCCATCGAGCATGTATGGTATTTTCTAGGCAGACGCTTGGCAGCTCGTACCTTACCACCAGTAACGATTCCGGAGCTTCAATTGGCGCTGCAAGACGAATGGGCAGCACTGCCTCAACAACTCATTGACACCCTCATTCTCAGCATGGGCAGACGCTGTTAAACCTGTCTAGCAGTCAGGGGAGATCATACCCCCTATTAAAGACCGGATGTTTCTTGCTGGACACCCATCACAGGAATGTTTCGGCCTTCAGTCGCATTGCGCTCCATGCTACTTTTTCAATAAAGCTTCTTTTTATCTCTCTGATTTCTCTTTTAGTATGTGTTGCTTACATTACTCATGTCCTTACGTATTGGGGATCTTACGGTATTAAATGTGTTGATTTGGAAAGCTTTTGTACAAAAGCTTGTAGTTTTTTTTTTTTTTTTTTACATTCAAAAAACCGTCTCGTTCTTAATTTTTGCACACCAGTGTACAACCCTTTCTCTCTCCGTCGGGAGGATCCTTCTGCGAAAAGGCAGTTCGGAAAACATATAATCATCTAATAATGCTCATCGTAATCTATAGAACCTTTGAATTTAAATTAAACCGTAAGAAAATACATGCCAGCTTCTTGTAAATCCCAATTAAAATTAATATAAACAAGCCTCCTAATCTGTATTTTGTCATAGATTGAGATTCTTTCTAATATACGGCAATACAGAACAGAAGAAAGCAGACATTAAAATCGTAAGCGAAAAAGAAAAGTTTACCACAGTGGTAAAAAATTAATGAAATATTGTAGAAATGGATAACAAAAAATTCAAAGAGTATCTGAGGTTAAAGACGATTCATAGGGAATGTATATCTGATGAGAAACGATACAGAACTCATTCCCAGTAAGTGTTGCAACCTTATGAGCTAGAATATACATTCAAAGACCTGTAACAGCAATAAATAGTTTAGAAGGCATTATAGCATTGTCTGTAATACTGTAATAAAAATGTAAAGACTACTTTATGATGTAGTGATATATTAAAAAATATAAATTATAAAATATATTAAAAAAATAAATTAGAAGTATATTTGCTTTTGTAACTTTTAGATTTATTTTTGAAGAAAACATTTAATGATAATCAAATTACAGAGCTACATATTTTATCAGATGTTTCTGTAATTGATACTAAAGTGTTTCTTTGCGTCAAATATAGAAAGTCAGGACTTTAAAAATAACCTAAAGCAAGGACAAATTTTCAGTTTATAAATTGCACAAGTAAATAAATATTATTACATAAATTTTTCCTGTTTCAACGAAGTGGCAATATATTACATAAATAAATGCACGAGATTGTCTTAATTCATTCTTATTTTTCTTCTTGCAGTTGGTTATAAAACAAGTTCTCGGAAGATTCTGTACCCTCCCCGCCAGACATCTGATTCATGTCCAGTACAGCTATGGAGAACGCGACCTTGTTGGAGTAAGATATATTTTCATTCGAAGTAGAATAAAATAATTAAGACACAATAACACGCCGAATAAATACTAATTCAGAAGTCAAACAACAAAAATCAGCGTTATATTTACAAAATTTTCACAGGACTAGTTTCGATGGTTTTTACCGAACCACCATCTTCAGCTGCAAAACCGCAAATGAACAAGATAGGAAATAATGATTAGATAAGATAAGAAAGCCTGGACAAGAATAAGCAAGTGGCGCCATCTGTTGGTAAAACCAGAACTAAAACATAATTTCTTTAAAGGCCGAAGGCAAATTTGGATTGGAATTAGGATCGTTAACTAGAACAGAAAGATTTTTATGAATGTGAAATGCCTCTAGAAAATCCAGTTCTCCAATGGAAGATGTTTTTTGAATAATTTTGGCAGCAGAAAAACTGAAAGTGTGGTTTTCGGACCAACAATGTTGAGCAACAGAAGACTTCTGTGTTTCCTTTTTTCTAACATATGCCTCATGTTCCTTGACGCGAAATTTTAAGGCTCTCTTAGTTTGGCCAATGTAAATTAAACCACACTGGCAAGGAATCCTATAAATACCCCAGGAATTCATATCCGGAATGGGCTCCTTGAGTATGGACTCGGAATTTTATTGATGGGAGAATAAACAACCCGAAAGTTAAATTTCTGCAAAATAGTAAGTTCAGTAAAGTTTCAGATTCACAGAAAGAAATGATTAGGCATCTTATCGCTCATAATGTGAAATTCAATAATAAACCTTTGAAACCAAATCTAACTGCCAGAGAAAGAGCTACATTGTGTGAAATTCATTCTAACCCGGATATTATTATTTCAAAGGCCGACAAAGGTGGCCAGATAGTCGTCATGGATAGGAACACTTACATCGATGGTGTCACTAAACTCTTAAACGAAGGACCATATAATCCGATCCCTAAAGATCCTTCACCTTCGGATTTGTCAAAAATAAAAACTGCGATCAAATCTTCGCAAATCATTTCAGCCAACTTAAAACATTCACTTATCCCATCTGTTGCGAATTGTGCCAGATTATATGCTCTTCCCAAAATTCATAAAAGTGGTATTCCTTTCCGCCCTATTGTATCAAATTTAGGTACTGCCTCGTATCCATTAGCTAAATATTTAGTTTCTAGATTTTCAACTCTATTAGACAATAACATTTACACCATAAAAAAATTCAATAGAGTTTGTAAAAAAAGTTAAAAACATTCTCCTTGTAATTTACTCATGGTTTCTTTTTGATGTAAAATCATTATTCACCAATGTCCCAGTGGAGGGTGCATTAAGATGTCTAGAAACCAGACTTCGCGAATTTCATTTCTCTTGCATCGAATTGATGAGCTAATTTCTCTCACTCAACTCTGTTTGAAACAAACACATTTTGTTTTCCAAAATAAATATTACAAGCAAACTGAGGGATTAGCCATGGGAAGCCCCCTCAGTCCCATCCTGGCTGATATCTACATGCATTATTATGAATCAAAATTGTTTGAAACTTTAAACTTCCCGGCATGGTTCCGCTACGTAAACGATACTTTTACTTTGTTTGAAGGTAATAAAGATGATTTAAATAAAGTTCTTTCAACAATGAATTCTATTGATTCTGCTATTCAGTTCACTTTTGAACTTGAGACTTGCAATTCTCTTCCGTTTCTCGACATTCTGGTCACACGTAACACATCCAACTTCAGTACTACGGTTTACCGTAAACCTTCATCGGTTTGCCTTCCACCACACTTTAAATCATATCATCCGACTAAACAAAAGTTAGCTTCATTTTATTCCTATGTTTTCCGTGCTCTTCAAGTTTGCTCCTCCAAAATAGCCCTTGATGAAGAACTAAAGTATTTAAAAGCAATAGCTATTGACAGGGGCTTTCCACCCAACATTATTAATCAAGCAGTTAAAAAATTCTCATCTCAACACACTAAAAGGCACACTCTTGTTTTAGGAGATTATAAAAATTCTGTTGTCATTCCCTTCTTTCCATCAATTAGCTATAAAGTTGCACATATTTTGCAGAAATTTAACTTTCGGGTTGTTTATTCTCCCATCAATAAAATTCCGAGTTCCATACTGAAGGACCCCATTCCGGATATGAATTCCTGGGGTATTTATAGGATTCCTTGCCAGTGTGGTTTAATTTACATTGGCCAAACTAAGAGAGCCTTAAAATTTCGCGTCAAGGAACATGAGGCATATGTTAGAAAAAAGGAAACACAGAAGTCTTCTGTTGCTCAACATTGTTGGTCCGAAAATCACATTTTCAGTTTTTCTGCTGCCAAAATTATTCAAAAAACATCTTCCATTGGAGAACTGGATTTTCTAGAGGCATTTCACATTCATAAAAATCTTTCTGTTCTAGTTAACGATCCTAATTCCAATCCAAATTTGCCTTCGGCCTTTAAAGAAATTATGTTTTAGTTCTGGTTTTACCAACAGATGGCGCCACTTGCTTATTCTTGTCCAGGCTTTCTTATTTTATCTAATCATTATTTCCTATCTTGTTCATTTGCGGTTTTGCAGCTGAAGATGGTGGTTCGGTAAAACCATAGAAACTAGTCCTGTGAAAATTTTGTAAATATAACGCTGATTTTTGTTGTTTGACTTCTGAATTAGAATAAAATAGTAATGCATTGTTCTGTGAATTTTAATTGCGAGTTTTTTTTTTCTTATTTTTCCGCAACCTCCTTTAAACGTGTGTATATATAAAAGCAATATATGAAGTTTACCATTGAACATTGTTTGTCTTTTTTTGGTGGCCAGAATAAATTTGACTTTTGAAGACGGTTAGCTGTTTTTATGAGGATCAAGAAACATTTATTCCCTTCTGTGTTTTTTTGCAAAACTCTAATGTCTAAGGAAAGAAGAAAAATATAGATTGTTAAATATGTTGGTTACTTACTCCAAATCTTGTTTGATTTCTTCCCATGGTGACGGTTTTAGAAAACTAAACGTGCGTTAATAATTTTCTTTTTTCAGTATGAGATACTCAACGTCACAAAGACACACGGTCTCAAAACTAATGAAAGAATTTTGTGAGGTGATAGAATACATCACAACAAACATTTTTCGTACCAAAATACATTGTTGCACGTTTTGTGGTTAGAGTAGATGGTATATTTCAGTTCTTCCTACAGTTCGTATGAAGCAAACACAAATAATATCTGGTCTCTACCTATTCATATACCTTTCCCTTCCAAATTACTAATAACGGCACATAATGTGTAAAACTCAGCGGCTGTAAATATCGTGCGTATCCGATTCAATAAAAGTGAAGTCATAGAATGTTTTCTTACAATTTCTAATGTTGGATATAAATTCGAAGGTATTCTTCAGAAATGATAAAATATAGCCATCGTATCGCCAGGAATGGTGCCAGTGATGTTATATAGGCAATAGGCTGGTATATTACTGTGGGAAAGGGGAAGTGAGGCATATGCAGCAAATCTAATGCCAGAATCGAACTGTTTTCATTTCGGGCTAGTGTCAGTTTACCTGTAATCATTCCTGAGTGGTAGATCATTGAAAAGAGATGGTGTACTTAACTCTAAAAGTTGATTATTTCACTGAGAGAATATTGGAGGGAAAAGGAACAAATGAGAATGAGACCATTGCCTTTTTGGACAAAGTTATGTGAAGGGCTTTGATGAAATATAAAAATAATAAACTGAGAAGCAAAGCCTTAGCACAACAGGGAAGCACATATAATCTAAATACGTAGAAAAAATGTAGTACAAAGTCTTTAATCCGGACGTCCATAATCCGGAATGATCTATAATCCGGACCTCAAAGCTACAAACTTTCTGCGCATGCGTAGCGTTTACGCATGCGCGCTTTAATGTATAACGGACGGTAAAAGCTAGGCTAAAATTATCTAATTATCTATTTCAGTTAATGTTGCAGAATGCGTTCTTCCTCAATCTTCTAATTGGATCCAGCTTATTATATTTCGCAGACTGTTAGGGCAATTTTATAGAAAGGAAGCTTGAAATTTCGGTTATGTCAAAAAGAATTTCCGATTCCGGAGCTGCCAAAGGATCTACAAATCGAAAGCATGTTTCGATATCCATCAAACAAAAAGTGGAATTGCTGCAAAAAATGGATAAAGGCATGAAGAAAGTGACAGAGAGGTTAGTGAAAACGAGAAATTGACAAGTTAGTCGGTATTCTCAGCACAGCAATTACAGGACTTGAACAGCGAAACTTTGTAGCTGAACACGAAATTGTGTCTGTTTATAGAATTAAAGAGAAAGTATTAGCACATAAAACGAAGCAACTAAAAGAACTTACATTGAAAGAAATTTGTAATAAAGTAAACAAAATAATATTAAGTTTTTTTGTGTAAATTTTGATACCTTTTAGATAATAATTGCTCTTTATTTCATAAATTACGGTTTCATACTTTTTATTTTATAATTTCTGAATGCCATCTTACCAGATTTAAATAAAATAATTATCTATAATCCGGAAAAAACCTTAATCCGGAATCGAAGTCCCGACGAGTCCAGATTAAAGACTTTGTACTGTAAAACAAGTACAAAACCGTAACAATGATAAGAAGAACTATGGCTGGTAAAAGAGGAACCATCTCTCTTACATGCGTTCAAAAGGGCCTTTTCTCTTTTCATTGCAAAAAGCAGTGTCTGTAGGAAAAGTTCCTTCAAATCTTACTCATGTGGTCTTGTATTCTATGATGAAAAACATTTACGTAGAAGCTTTCTATTATCCTCTGATATTTGTTCCATTATAATTTTTTAAATGTTTTGTCTGCAGCATTTTCATTACAAATGACTATATGCATCCTTTCATTGTAGTAGCCTAGTCATGGCAAAAACTTATCTCTTCTTTAGTCTTGATTGAATGTGTAATCCGAAGCCTAAGTCCATTAAGTATTGAATTCCAAGTCGATTCAAAATACACTTCCAAACAATGGATTCGGTGCTCAAATGGCTAACAGCGTTGTCCACAGATTGCGACCATAGCTTTCACTGTAAAAATAGCCATTTCAGGGTCTTTTCTCCTGTAAGGCTTGCTTTGTAACCATAGCAACAGGTGCAGCAAAGAGCCAGGTCTTTTAATTGATTCTTTCCTACTTCATCTCTGGTGGACATATTTCGCTTGGTGAAATGCACACGAATGAAGGCTGACGTGAACTGTAGTCTCAAATGAAAAGGTCGGAAGAGCCTTGAAATCTGTCGGAAGAGCCTTGAAGTGCCTATTTTAAAGTATCAGACTCTAAGAGAGGTAAAGGGGGGACCTTTCCGTATCTTTCCTATGTTGTCACATTAGTAACTGAGGATGTGATCACGTCTGCTTCTTTCAAACTCGAATTTCATAAGCGATATCAACGTCATTACATTCTCTTGAATTATCACCTTTGAACATTTGCTTTCAATACAGTGTCACAGCATCTTCTAGCATTCGACTATCACTATCGCATAGCATTCTCGTACACGCACAATGTAAGTACAAAAACTGTATTCAATACTGAGTCTCAGATTCGATGTGGCCATTTAATACTACCACTTAATTAGGGAACTTTCTGATGCAATCACTTTGATTTGATTCAGTATGATAGATTCGGGGCTGAAGCAGCTAATGGTATTTGATTCGTTCCTCACGTAGTCATCTCTGATTGATACGGTCTTGCTTTGCTATTAAGTCTTGCTATTTCCTTAATTCATGCTCGGTTATAACGTTTGACAAGAGCCCCACATTGCTAATTTATTCTTTAAAAGGTATTTAATATTAAAAAAATTAAATTTGTTCTAAATTATATTAGCTATACTAATCAGATATATTTTCAGTTTTAGAAACTTTTCATCGTAGACAGATTTTTTAGTTCAGAATAAATAGTTCAAATAAAAATTAATAAATTTAAAACAAATTACCGTATTTAATTATTTATTATTCTTCCATAATCATTATTTTGATCTATTTTTAGCTGACGACTGCGGTTTCTTTCGATGGAAAGTCAAGAATGATTCTTTAATATGTGTAGGAAGGTACAGTGTCGTCGTGGAAGGTAAAATGCTTTACGTGTTATTTACTTTTTGTCTCTAAATTCCAAACAATATGCAGGTATTGTAAAGATGCTCTTAGAGTTATAATGTTGTGAACTTTCAACTCAAATTGCTATGTTAAAGATACCATCCGAAAAATTCCTGGCAATCTAAAGAAAAAGAAAAGAACCTTTCTAATTTTTGCCACCTTGGTGTTCAGAAAACATATTGGCCAGCAAGAAGAAGTCAGGTGTTATTCGCAAATACACTAATGTCTCGCACATACTGATAATGCCTCGCAAATGCAGATTGCTCTAGGACAGTGATGGCGAACCTATGGCACGCGTGCCACAGTCGGCACGCAGAGCCTCATCAGCCGGCACATAACTAAAATATTACTTCTTTAATCAATAATCACAATAAAATGATATTATGTAATTTAAATAAGTGTTTTAGTCTATTCTTTAACGTTTCATTTGCTTATTTATCTTTACTTAACGGCTTCCTTTTCACTTACTTACGACACTTTAATACCAACCACAAGATTGTTGCCGAACTTGATGAAGCTGAACGGAAGGTGTTTATTGAAGGGAAATTGAGGTATTATAATTACCAAAAAGTTGATTTTTGCAAATATCTTTATAAAAAAAAACCATATAACAACGGCCAGCTTTCAAATTTCACTGTGCCTGACAAAAAACATGGTAAACCGCTCTCCGATGGGGATTTAATCGAAGAGGTTTTGGGCACGCGACCCGACAAAGGTTCGCCACCACTGCTCTAGGATCTTCTGCAGCTGCATGAATAAATATGCAGAGAATAACAGGTGTCAGATACAAGGTGGCCTGACTTCAGAATTTCACTGTTGGTTGTATGGGTATTGCCCTGCTGCACTAATTCTGCATTTCCACCCCCAACGTTAATGGAGAACAAACACCCTGGGTGACCGTCCGTTCAGAGGCTGACGGATACAAAAACATAGTTTATTTTATTTCATTATTTAGATAAATTTTTAATACGCAATACAGCAAACCTTATTGTGTCGACCACCTCCGCAAGGAGACCACCTCTGAAATTAAATAATATTTCTGAGAACACAAAAAAATGTGTTGAACATGACCTGTCTTAAAGGGTTTTCTCCACAGAAGATAAAATTATCAAGAACCGGGAGCAGTCATCGTATAGAAGATTCACTGTAGTTGATTCCGTTCATTAAACTAGGAGGTTTTGAAGACAGTGTTAATTCTTTTAATAATAATTGCCTTATATATTTTGAACTCAAATTTCATTATATTTTCTAAAAGTGCCAAAGCTCTAATATGAAGAATGAAATTCTTATGAGAATTCTTATGGGAAGAGGATCGAAAGGGTATAGCTATTTCAAATTACTGTATTTAGAATCCCTGCTTTATGACTTGCTGGCATATATGTCACATTTTTTATGATATCGTTATCTTACCTCGTTAGTAGAAATATAACACCTGGAATTCTCTGGTCTTGAAGCATCATTTAGTTAATCTACGGTTTACGGCATTATTCTGAGCTTACAAAGTGCCTATTCTCTTTAATGACTCTTCTTCTAAAGAATTCTTTTTTATATTCTGATGGAGAAACTTTTTGCCCCTTGGCCGTCATTTATTGGAAAACTTCAAATGCACAGGAAGGAGTAGATAAAGCTGTCTGCTCCTATGTAGTTTAAAAGAAGTGGCTAGTGATGTCGTATCGAATATTGGAATTCTATAATCTCACATGCTTCTTTGGTTAGTGGTTATCGTTGGAAGATTAGCATTATGGAACAAACTGCTAAGAGGACAAATATTTTGCCTTGGTTTATCACGTTACTATTAAAATGTCACAACTGGCACTCAGAGTGTTTTCTGGCTGTAAAAGTGCCTATTAATTTTGATTAAATAGATTAGATCTTTTTTTTCAGGTGCAAATTATTTTAGACTAGAAGTCTTCTTATATTTTTATCTTTCGATGTGGCTTCTAGGTCTGGACTGTTTCAGAAAAAAAGGGGGGGTCGAAAAAGCATAATTTATCTCATTTTTTGCAACTAGCTTTTTTTATAAATATCGAGGTAAGAACATATTTCTTTCTTGATGCCACTTTCTTCTAAAGACAAATATGTTAGTTGTAATGATTTTCCTTTCTGGAGAAGAGAGATAAAAGCCAAAAATTAGATAAAAATTTAAATTTAAAAATTAAAATGAAGAACAGCAATATCCGAATTTCAGATTACTTCATAATAAGAACCATATGATTATTTTAAGAACCATATGATTCAAAATTTTTAAAACGCAATAAAAATATTAAAATGCTTTACAACTGTTTCACTTCTTTTCTTAAACTAAAACCCACTAGCGACCGAATGGAGACGTTATTGAACATGGTAGTTTAACCTGGGTTCCACTCCAGGCGAACGGGCTGGTTTCATATGCGTTTTTGTTGTTTTTCTCCATATATAATATGCATGCGAGCCAATTTTACCTAGAAAATCCTCATGAAGGCATCCCTCTCCTTAGGCAGATAGCTCTAGCTCGATTGCCATAATCAGATAAACTAAACCAATCTTAAACTAAAATGATATCTATCATTGCCACCTCATAAAAATAAATTTTTACAGTAGAATATCGTTAAAATTGAACTCAAAATAAATTTCAGCTTGAAGAACTCCAACGTTCTATATCTATATTTCTTTCTTAAATATAAAGCGGTATAAACGGAAACCTGTCAAACTATTAAAAGTGTTCATTACTGTTAAGAAAAAAAAAATTGAGGAAAAGAAATTATGATGAGCCTTGAAATATGTATAATATTATGAAAAGTTATCACTATTATCAAATTTACATTGGATGCAGACGATAATGCGCACGAAAAGAAGAAATAGAATTTTTCAGTCGATTTATTAAAGTTGTGACAAACTATTTTATTTATGATACTTGAGATACAAAATAACATTTGTCTCAAAAATTTGTTAAGAAATCCAGATAAAACTAATTTTCAAATTATTAACTGAATATTGCATTCAATAATACATTTTTATAGCACCGAAGATAAATGATAGATCTTATTCATCGTCAATTGGCAAAAGCGTTTATTTGTAAGATTTGATTTCGTTTACTTGATTATGGCGCATAGTACACGATTGATATCTGCCAAAGGGAAGGGATGCCTTCCTGGAGGGCTTTCTAAAGAAAACTGGCTTGTATTCACGTTATACATGGGGAAACCACGAAAACGCCCATGAAGCCAACCCGTTCACTTTTTTATATCCAGGTTAAACTACTGGTGTTCAGCGACGTTATCGTTTGGCCGCTGGTGAGCCCTATTTGTAAAGAATTATGATATTCCTCCCAAGCGAACTATCGTCATATAGTGATTCGCACATACAGTTTGCAACTGAATGATCCGTGTTTCGATTCATGTCAAGAAAGCAGTTAATTTTTCATATTTCTCACTCCGAAAAGCCGTATAATGCCTATGGAATTATGTAGTACGCGAATTCATCGAAATTTTAAACGTAACACTTGTTTGAGGTATTAATGAATTATAAACATAAGCCACAATAGGCTAACAATGCTTGCAGTTTTTCAGTTTTCCTTTACAAAACTATTCAAATATTCCAGAGGATTCACACGTTGCGTTGCGCACGTGAAACTTTTAGAAATTGTGGAAATTCCAGAATAGATGTTAATGCCAAATTGTTTCAATGGAATGTTCAAATTGTACGTTTCTATTACAAATAGTATATCATTTAAAATTTCAATTGCAGTTTATGCTGTTTGTTTTAAAAAGCATTTGTTTGATGCAAGATGGCGATGAGATTTCCCCAAGTAGAAGGAATTTTTATGATTGAGCATCACTTCGCAACTTATTGGTACAGAAAATGTGAAGCGTTTAAACAGGCGTTCCAGAATTTTGGGAATTTAGTGAAACAATGATTTCCCACTTAGTAACCTGATTTTGAAAGTTGAAGCGTACATTGTAGGAAATTAAATGACCGTCTATATCGTCTGACTTTGATAAAAATGGACGAAGTCATGAATAAAATGTTGTGGTTACCCACAAAAAACGTTACACAGACAACATCGCAATCAAATTTATGCGTACAGCGTAAACTGCAACTGAAACACTAAATGACATACAGCGTGGTTATAAAATAAATTTCCTTCCTAGTTTAAAGTTCTCTGCAGTGTAATTTAACGGACGGAATAAAACCAAATTTCATATGCAGACTGTGGAAGGCATAGGGAGATGAATTCAAAAGAAAAAAAAGAAAGTACCAAAAACCGCCGGTAAGAGAGATTTTGGCGCTGTAAGAGCCGAGAAGTAATCAACAATTGCAAAAATGCGTAGAAAATATATTATGAAAAATGTTATTAATGCTTGAATAATAAAAAATGCATAACGTACCATCCGAAACTCACAGAAAATAATCTTTTATTAATCAACAATAAGGTCCCGTGGACCGCGTGTAACATTCTCGATGTGCTGACCTTCCTTAATAACAAGATATTGCATGCTGTGTACGATGTTCTCTACCTGCTGCGTATAAACTGTCAGCTCCGATATTTGTAACAGATCGTCTTATGTTATCTTCCAAGGAACTCAGGTTTATAACTTCAGTATACACAATGGAAAATGTTTTCCGTCGGATAATACAGGCTGATGACTCTCTTATTACCGAAATGCTAGACTAAAATATTTTGTACTGAACAAAGAATATGTGGACGTGCTCCATCTTGCATTAAGTTATCGAGTCCACGCACTGTCTGCCGCAATTCAGAAATTTTCTAGCGTTTGCCGATATTTCTCAACATTAACGGTGCAAAACGTATGGGTTCTACTACGAAATCGACCGTAAATCTACACCACACGGTTGCTTTTGCAAAATGCAGTCACACTTGATGGATCACTGTGAACCGTTCTGATGCCTAAATTCAGATGTTAAGCACTGATGGAGCAAATCAGATGAAAAGGAGCCTCATTTCGCACAACAGTTTTTCAATTTTTAATAATT